GGACAGCCACATGCAGAAGAATGAAACTGGACCATTTCCTTACACCACACACAAAAATAGACTCAATGGATGAAAGACCTAAATGTGAGACAGGAATCCATCAAAATCCTTGAGAACACAGGCAGCAACCTCTTCGACCTCAGCCACAGCAATTTCTTCCTAGACACATCGCCAAAGGCAAGGAAAGTAAGGGCAAAAATGAACTATTGGGACTTCATCAAGATAAAAAGCTTTTTGCACAGCAAAGGAAACAGTCAACAAAACCAAAAGACAACCGAGAGAATGGGAGAAGATATTTGCAAATGACATATCAGATAAAGAGCTAGTATCCAAAATCTATAAGGATCTTACCAAACTCAACACCCAAAGAACAAATAATCCAATCATGAAATGGGCAGAAGACATAAACTGACATCTCTGCAAAGAAGACATCCAAATAGCCAACACACACATGAAAAAGTGGTCAACACCACTTGGCATCAGGGAAATACAAATCAAAACCTCAATGAGATACCAGTCGGGATGTCTAAAATTAAGTCAGGAAATGACAGATGTTGGCAAGGACGCGGAGAAAGGGGAACCCTCCTACACTGTTGGTGGGAATGCAAGCTGGTGCAGCTACTGTGGAAAACAGTATGGAGATTCCTCAAAAAGTTGAAAATGACCCAGCAATTCCACTACTGGGTGTTTACCCCAAGGATACAAATGTAGTGATCCGATGGGGCACATGCACCCTAATGTTTATAGCAGTAATGTCCACAATAGCCAAACTATGGAAAGAACCTAGATATCCATCAACAGATGAATGAATATAGAATGTGTGGATATATATATAATAGAATATTATGCATCCATCAAAAAGGTGAATTCTTGCCATTTGCAACGATGTGGATGGAACTAGAGGGTATTATGCTACGTGAAATAAGTCAGAGAAAGACAAGTATCATATGATCTCACTGATATGAGGAATTTTAGAAACAAGAGAGGATCGTAGGGGAAGGGAGGGAAAAATGAAACAAGAGGAAACCAGAGGGGGAGAGCAACCATAAGAGACTCTTAATCTCAAGAAACAAACTGAGGGTTGCTGGTGGGGAGAGGGGTGGGAGGCATGGCATGACTGGGTGATGGACATTGGGGAGGGTATGTACTATGGTGAGCACTGTGAATTGTGTAAGACTGATGAATCCCAGACCTGTACCCCTGAAACAAATAATACATTGTATGTTAATTAGAAAAATTAAAAAAAAAAGTTGACTGAGAACCATATACATGTGTTTTCATTTCTGGAAGGATGGTTTACATTTTGTTGGACATTGTAGTTATGTTCATTTAATCTTAAATTTAAAGAAGTTCTCTTATACTTATTGGAGGTATCTGATCTCATTATAAGTTCTCCTTTAAAAACTTTGTTTTAATATTGACAGATTTCCATGTTCATTAAATATGGAGAATTGGAGGAGGAAAAGAAATAATTCTTAAGTCTTTTTTTATTTTTTTTTATTTT